GGTTTTACCCCTCTATTTGTAACATGTTTACCAATTTGTGATTTTTCGTGATATTAATTTAATTTAACGGACACTAAAGAAAGGTAAATCTTTCACAAATATACCAGTTTGGGGTTTTTAGTGGTCAAAAAATTAGTTCAGAGTAAAATTGTCACGAGTGTACCAGTTTATGATTTTTTGTGGTAAAAAAATTAGTTCGGGATAAAATTATTACAATGTACCAGTTTGGGGTTTTTGGTGGTAAAAAAAATAGTTTGAGGTAAATTTGTCACAAGTGTACCGGTTTGAGATTTCTTGTGGTCAAAAAAATAATTCGGAGTAAAATTATCACAGGTGTACCAGTTTGGGGTTTTTCGTAGTAGTAACCCATTAGATAAAATCGTCCTTTACTGGATATTTGTTGATTGTCCGACTAAATTCACCCCATTTTCATTAAAAAAAGATGAAATTGCCCTCGAAAGATTGAATTTAATTAAATCGAAGCTTTGCATAAATAAGAATCTTTTCTTAAAATGGTCAGTGAAATTTCATTATTTTGAATTGATGAAAATAAATATCAATTGCATAATGTTTACGAAAAATATCGAGGCACCTCATTGTGCATAACTTTTTCATGTTAATATTTTTAGTGTTGTTCTAGATACTCTTCTAATGTCTTACATGTAAAAGTCTATCGCCAATAGTAATGAAAAAAGATAAATTTTAGATATAGTAAATATAAACTTGATATATATTTAGGCTAACTAAATTAAAAAATAAAATATTCAACAAGAAAGTAAGCTCTTGAGATAGGAGCGACAAAAAGAACAAACAAGTTATTATAAGAGTATTTTAGCAAAAAAAAAGTTATTATAAGAGTAATGATGAAGAAGACACTATTTTTTTTTTCTAAATAGCAATAAGTTTCAATTTGACGAAACACCATAAAAAAAACAAGCATGTAAAATTCTTGATTATGGTAATTAGATAATACACAGAAATTAGAAAAAGTAAAAAATAAAAAGAAGAATAGAAAATAAATTTGGAACCACCACTTTAGTTTGCAATTGAAATTGAGGGCGATATTGTCTTTTTAGTGAAAATGAGGGTGGATCTAGTTATATAGGGAGTGGAAATAACGCCACCTCTATTTTATCTCGAGTAATGACATACTTTCTGAGAAAGAAAGGTCGAGAATATGCTGACTGCCTTACAATGGCAAATTTGTAATTTTGTTGAATATCAAGGGCAACTTAATTGTTGTGAGCAGTTTGGAGTACATTCGGACCATCTTTTTCGAAAGACGAATAAATTACCCTTTTATCTTCAAGAAGAGTTGGGGCAAGTGAATTTGAGGAGAGTTTTCTTCAACTTGAATGAGTCGAGTTTGAGGTTCCATTTTCAATGTTGTCACATCATGTCGATGAATTCGAGATGTAGTTTAGATCCTGTGAATACATGATACATTGTCTCAATGTCCAATTGAATCAGCGGATTAGTGATGGCAACATTCACCTCTTTGGCAAGAGGCATGCTTAGCTAACAAGTTAGATCAAATCTCTTGATTCGGCCAAATCTATGTGTAAACAATGGTGGCTAGCATTCTCGCTACAATAGGTCTTGAGAGAGTCATAAAAAGGTTGTTACTTAATGGGGCACTCCTCCAGAGTTATCTTTTTATTACAAAGGAAAGAAAGAATGTTATGAAGGCTTACGACGATAGTTCGAACATCGAATTGAACATATTAGTAGCCGTTTATGCACTATGATTCGTGCCTAGGCACGCTGAGGGGACCAAGCAAGCCGCCCAACAAAGTACTTCCCTCCATCAACCCTGGGAAGCATGTTGTACAGTCAGTTGCCTTGAAATTTTACCGTGAAATTTCTGAGTTAGATGACACGTAACAATTGATGGATATACAAGTTTAGGGTTTTATTTTCTATTTGTTACAGGTGTACCAGTTTGTGGTTTTTACGTGGTATTAATCCAATTTAATATAAGGTAAATTTGTTATAAATGTATCAGTTTTGTGTTTAATAAGTTTGGGGTAAATTTATCATGGGTGTAGTAGTTTGAGGTTTTTCGTGATAAAAAAATTAGTTTGAGATAAATTTGTCACAAATATACCAGTTTGGGGTCTTTGGTGGTATTTACTCTCTTTTTTCGACCTTTTTTTAGGAAAAAAACATCTTAGGAAAAAATATTTTTAGATTTTGGAATAACTAACTTTACTTAAGTTGTTACATCACATGTTATTGTCACCTCACGTAACTTATCATCATTTTTTTATTCAGTTTGAATTATATTTCGAATTAGTTGCAATTTTTTTCTCTATTGGCTTATCGTGTGTGTGTGTTTGTGTTTCGATGCCGCATGGTCGCGTACGCTTCTGTTTACTGAAACGATGAACTTCAATTGTGCCATCAGTTGATGTTTCTTGACCATTAGAGAATCATCAGCATCCAAGGACATATGAAGCCAATGTAAAATGTCCAACAAGCATCTGCAGCCACATCTATTGTGAGCCCTTTCAAAGGACCCACACAACGATTGAAAAGGAAAACAAAGATGGAGTAAGCAGGAGAGAAGGGGGGTAAGGTTTAGCCACCCTCGTGGCAGTCTGTCGCGGTTGCACGATCCGATCTCTATAAGGGTAAGACCACAAGGCATCATCGTGGGCGGGCGGCCCTCGCCAAGGAGCGAGGGCACACGACCCTCACCCGAGGTCCGCGCAATCCCTTGCTCGGAGGCTTAACGACCTCGCTCGGACCTCATCTATCCATTTGAATCCGGATTCCAACCTCCCCTTTTAACTCCCATCTTCCTCGTGTACACATAGTGATGGAAAGCAGCTCTGGACAACTTGAGTCGCCGGAAGGGAGGGGACCATCCACCAAGTTCCAATTTTATGGTCGACGGTCGAAAGGCTGAAGTCAAACTTGTCACCCTCGAAAATGAACTGAGCTTGTTTGCATCGTTACCAACGAGACCGCACCCATTAAACTATGTACGTCTTCACCTACCATCCTCATGTCCATTCAACGTGCTCGAAACGAGAAGCCTTCTTTTTTTTTTTGGTAAGGAAACGAGGAGCCTTCTTTGGCTTCATTAAGATCAAGTTCTGTCCGAGTGTTTTCAGTTCAGGTTTTGCGTATCGAATGAAAGTTCAAATTTCTCGGTTCGATCGCGGGTACATCACTCGATGGGCGAATCGATCGCGCTCAGGATGTTACTTTCGACCGAGCGCGTAAAGTGAACCTACCGGATCAGGCACGAGTTTAATCTCCAACGAGCTAACATAGATTGGCCATGCCCCTGTGCTAGGGGAGGAGCCACCGAGCCAAAAAGTCTTCAGATGTGTGCACATGCTTGAAATGACTTCTCTGTAGTTTATGCTATAATTAATGCGATATTTCGACCATGATCAAAGTGGCGAAGACCACAAATGGGGTCGCTAGTTATGTTCTGCTTGATGGCACGTCCTCTTCGGAGTCCAAACCCGACAGCTTCGAAGACTTCAAATGGTGTTGACACTCGCACCTTGAACCCATCCCTTGCAATGTCATCCTTTTAGCTACACAACCACGAAAGAAATATTCACTTTTGATTTGGATGCGATTAGATACGGTACTTAAATCACGATGTCTTTCACCAGGATTAATTTCAGGGGTCAGGTCCCATCATCTTGGGAAGGCAATCTTACTTGATGCACATCAAGGGACAATTTGCATATTTTCACGAGAATTAGTCGAGTCGAAAGATTTGGTTACCTATATCGTAAAGAAGAATAAAGAAATGTTATACAGACAGACCCATGTTCTTCTTAACGACATCCATGGATCATATTCTCTTAAATGAAGTATGTAATGAGTTTCGCTCTTTTTGAAGTGTGATTAGCTTGATTCATTTCGGTACTTCTCACTAAGGGCACGCATGGAATCCATTCTGGAGTAGAAATTCTACTTAAGAATGCATTCCAGAACAGAAATACGTTTGTTAAAAAATTTCCGGAATGCAATCTGGAGCAATTTTTGCATTCTGGAATAAAAATGTGTTTGTTAAAAATACTTGATTCCAGAATGCATTTTTTATTCCAGAATGAGTTTTTGGCAAGAAAAAGAGAAGCTACTTTTTGTAGCTTCTCTCTTCTAGAATGTATTTTCCCTATTTTCTCTCTTTTTCGTGGCCTTTACAACACATTTTGAGATCTCACTAATTTTTTTTTTCAGAAAATGCATAAAAATTGAAAAATTCCAGAAAAATTCATAAAAATTTCCAGAAAATAAAAAAAAGTCAGATTTCGGGAAAATAGAAAATTTGGTAAATTTTTTTCAAAAAATATAAAAAAAAAATCAAAAATTTCAAAACTTCACAGAATGGCTTAGAATACCTTTGGGTACCCAATTTGAGTGAAATTTAATTTTTTTGAGGTGCCCAAAAAAATCAAAAATTTCAAAACTTCACAAAATGGCTTAGAATACCTTTGGGCACCTACTTTGAATGAAATTTAATTTTTTTGAGGTGCCCAAAAAAATAAAAATATAAAAAATTTTAAAACTTCACAGAATGATTTAAAATACCCGTAATCACCCACTTTGAGTGAAATTTTAATTTTTTTAGGTGCAAAAAAAAATCAATAAATCAAAATAGATTTCTGTTCCAGAAATCAATTTCTGGAGCAGAATTAGTCATGTTTTATAAGACAGATTTCTCCTCAAAAAATCAATTTCTTGCAAGAATTCCGAAAATCAATTTCTGGCAAGAATTTGATTTCTGAAGCAGAATGATTACCATTCGCGCCCTAACAGAACCTCAAATTTTGTGTAGGTTCCGAGGTGGTGAGTGCAAGTTTCTATGGAGGGCCTATATAGACGTGGTGGTCCAGACCATCCAACTTTTCAGCTTAAATTCAGTACTGAACTAGTTGAACAAGGAAAACGAGAATCTATGGCGATAACACAGTCCTTGTTCCTTACCAATATGACGACTGCACAAGCACTTGGTTGCAAAATGCTCAAAGTGTCACAATGAGCACCCATATATCCTTACAGAATATAAACAAGTGGGCTTGTAAGATATACAGAAATTTATTTTCTCAGCAACAGCCTTACGAAAATAACAGAGTCCGCACTACATTCAACGGCACGCAGCACAAGGGGGCGCAATAGAGCAAGAACAGTAGGATATCGCCTGTACAATAGAATATCTTGAAGCATCTCAGGAAGATGATGAGACATGCATACGTCAAACTGATTTCTCCGCAATTTCAGCTTGTTCCTTGAGGGACTTGTACATTGTCTCAACGAGGTCTAGCAGGAACCCATCAGCACCGCATTTTGCCAGCAAGGATATCGAGATAGGCAAATTATCATGCAGCCCCATCGGAATGCTTACCTGTAAATGCGAATTGCAGACACTTAATCCTAGATTGCATAGAGGCATTGGATTAATTGAGACGGGAGTATGACAGCTTTAAGGTTGCATGGTGAGAGAAGATTGCGTAACCTGACAGAATCCCGATACACCAGCAATGGAAAGCAAACGCATTGCCTTAGCACCAAAAACTTCCAGAGAGGATACATCCGTTTGTAGCTTTGGCGGTGGCCCAGGAACGGTGGGGATTGCAAGGATACCGAAATCCTGTACCAAAGGGAATATCACCTTCTTCTTTTACACTTCAAATTGCTCGAGAGAGATAAATGAGAACAGTATTCTTTGATAATTCCTCCAGTTACTTGGTCAATTACGCATGTCTTTTGGGAATTCATCAGATAAGATTAAACATAGCAGGAAGCCAAGAACACTATTCTTTGATAATTCTTACTTGTTCAATTATGCATTTCTTTCGGGAAATTCATTAACATAATGTTAAACATTGCAACAAGCCAAGAACAGTAACAGAAGACAACTATGAACTCAAGGCATGCGAGATGACCAGAGAGGGACATACCCCGAGTAGGGAAGTAAGAGCAGCATGGAATTCTTTCTTCACTGACCAATAGACATCAATATTTTCTTCAGTTGTCTGGAGGGCGTCCCTGACATGATCTGATATTCCCGGGCCCAAATCGGGATTGACAGCAGAGATCCATTCCTTATGGCTATTCTTGAACTCATACCTACGATTCAAGGTTAATCAGAATTCTTCTCTAGATAAAGGTTCTCTTCATTATCCCACACAATGCACAAATGAAATAAAATCCAACGAGGGTTCAGGTCCACATCACCACCTCTGAAGCAACTGCCTTGCACTAGAAAGAGCTTCTAAAGATGGTATGATGTCTGCTTCATCCTCATTTATTTCACGTAGGAATGAACTCAAGGCCGGAACGTTGTCTCTGACGTAGTCCCCAAGGACGGTGTGCTTAATTATACCACCTGCATTGATTCGCATTAAGGAGACATCAGATACAAAAAGAAATACTAGTTAGGGATTGGATATATATGAAGTGAGAGACTATACAATTCCAGTCCAGTTCACTTCCATCTGTAATGATCAATTCCTTCCACGTTACTGTGCTTCAGGACTGTGGGTACAATTTGAGCTTAAATCATTTGCTCTTATCTTCTTACCTCCAAATAATTTCTCCACTGATCTTACAAGAGCTTGAGTCAGTCGCTCACTTGGAATGTTTGAAAGCTGGAAACAATCTCTTGGAACAATGATCTGACTAGGTCTGTTTGGATCTGCATCAGGCAACTCGAGAAGAACACGACCAACCTGCTTCAAGATGCTCGGTTCCCTAGCAAACCAACCTAGATAAGACAGTAAAGAAACACAAAAGTAAACAAATGTTCATTTACTAGCTTACAATGAGAGGAAAAAAGAAAAGAAGCCAACAAAATAAATTCACACTGTTCATGATGAGTTTATTGTGAATACTCCCATGAGTGCAGGAACCTTGCACAAGTACACGACGTAATTGAAAGACAATACTGGGAAGTAGTGTGAAGCAGTCAGTTGGCTGCTGTGTTATCATTTGTAGAATACTTAAAGATGGAATTACAGTGCAATACAAAACCTACGAGAAAGGGGACAAACAGTTTCAAAGACGCACACTTTTTGCCATATTGAAAGTGCTAGAAATTTCTTTCAGCTGCCCAATATTTCATTTTTTTTATAAAGAAACACCACTAATGTCAGAAATAAAATAAGGAACCTAAGTCTTTCGCTGAACTTTCCTTCTTTAAGAAGCCGAAACCAATGACTATATTCATCAAAAGCTGGAGGCCATGAGAAAACAGAATTCTCACCTACTGTATCCAAACTTTGTGCCATTGGAATGACTCCAACAGTGCTTACGGCATTATGTGACGGCCGAAATCCAAGGATCCCACAATAAGATGCGGGAACTCTTACACTTCCTCCAGTGTCACTTCCTGCAATGGTACAGAAGTTTTAGCTTCATTCAGAAGGATAAACTGAGAAAATTTCAGAGTAGGATGAAGTGCTTCACCTAGGGAGAAATCGACAAGCTTTGCTCCTACTGCAACAGCAGATCCACTGGAGGATCCTCCAGGCACGCGATCGGGTGCACATGGGTTCCTTGGTGTGCCGTAATATTTATTTACGCCATCTATGCTGCCACCATAAAAATAATCATTTCAGTGGATTATATTCCTCTCTTTAGACTAGAACTTCCTTTTCAAGCTATTTAAGAAGGAAGAGACTACCTTGGAAATTCCATTCTCAAGCTAGAATTCCTCAAATTCAACCTTGGTGAACTATGTATGCAATGAATTTATCCCGTCTTTTCCATGGTAAGCATTCCTATCTTAACCTAACCAATCCAAGTCTGAAACAGGACAGGGAAAGAAAGTTCTCAAATCACAATGCCTTCTTCACTGGCCAGGCGAGAGGCTTCCTTCCAAGATTCAGAACTCTAAAGTCTGATTTCAGGAAGACTATCTGATATATGACTGCATTGCAGGTTGTCTTAAAGTAGTTAGCTAGGAGCCGGTATGCAGTGTCTGGCAGCTCTAGACATGCAATTAGTCTAGCTTATCCCCTATTCTCTTGCCATGCTAAGGCTAAGTACGAACACATACCTACCCTACTCTTCATTATTCATTGCTTGCTCTCTACTCTTCAACAGTCGGCCACAATTCTCGAGTTTGAGTTGTGTTTTTCAATTGCAGCAAGACTGAGTTTATAAGCCAAATTCGCAGACACTAACCTGTATGCCATTTCATCCATTACAGTTTTTCCAACACAAGTAGCACCCGCTTTCAACACATTCAAAACAGCTGGAGCTGTGGAAGGTGCAGGCACGTGAGTCCTCGCCCAATCAGGATTTCCAAAACCAGTCACATGTCCTTCAACATCGATACTGCACACAGAATTCCGTATGAAAAAACCGACACAAACTTCAGTCTCAGAAAAAGTCCAACTACGCATAGCAGCAGGAAGCAATGTAAAATTTCATGCCTTTTCACAGAAGATGCATGTATGAGTAGTGCTACCATCGGGAGGAACACGTGGTAATAGTTAGATCTCTCCCTTTCATTCAGTGATAAATGTAAACTACTCACACTCGCTCACTAGACCAAGGATGAAAATCCGACATTTACAAAACAAAAATATATTGATAAAACATAATTTTCCAGCTACAAGTCAAGCTGTCTATGCTCGATCCTTTGTACTCTCTTCGAAAACGTTTAGGAAGAAAATGCGGCGAACATCACACAGCTCGTCATCAATTGACATTGCGTGTGACAACCAACAACAACATAGTACTCAAAATGACCACCTCCCCTTTTTCTTCACTGCTTTGAACATGGGTCCCACCACATTCGCCGATTACTTCTAGATTATTGCTGACACCAATAATTAATCGGGTTGTCAACAGTAAAATAGATTATTATTAGGGAAAATTCAGAACAGCGGGGAAAAACGCACATGATGAGAAATATTTGGCAAAAAGCAAGTCAATCGATGAAAAACGACGAAAGCCATAAGTTTAGCTGTCGAAAGTATGATAATAGACAGCTGGCAACCGCTAAATCATATGCTGGCGAGAAGTTTCAAGGGGTTGAAATTTGAAAAGACCGAATTGATGAGGGAACAGTTATGGATTTGTTTTGAAAATAATAGACGAAGTCGTTATTACTTGAGGACCAAGTCACGGAAGTTATCGATAAGAATAAAAACACATGGTGATACACACGATTCACCTCACATAGATTGACAGGTGTCACAAGAATAAAGATGAGGACGGGATCGATAGCAGTCACTTGACATAGATTGACAGGTGTTGTGAGAAGGAAGGATGGAGATGGGATCAATGGCAGTTACCTGATGTAGATTAACAGGTATCGCGAGAATAAAAGATGAAGATGAGATCGATGGCGGTTATTTTACGTGAACCGATAGATGTCACTAGAGGACGGTTATCTTATTTACAGTATAAATACCATCCAATAGCCAACAAAAAACCCCCTGAACACACAATCAAAATGCTACTTTTTTAAGTCTAGTATTGGTATAACATGGTATTGACGATGTTCGAGTGTAATGTTGCATTTATTCGAACTGATTATGCTGCTTAAGTTTTTTATCGATCAGATATTATCACGGCTTGAATTTATATTATTCGATAGAAACAAGCAAGTTCCTTTCTCTTGCCTAGATATCTCCCGTCTGGAGCTACCACCGAACCCGGTCCTTTCTCACAAAAAAGCCGAAGAACGATGTTCGGTAAATTATATTTCGTCGCGGGAGCTTTTCCGGCAAAACAATTATCGAACCCCATGTCAGCTTCTCACTGGGTACGCGAGTATCTTCTCATTCGGCCTTCGCTTTCCCGTGTCAAAGCTCAATAGTTCACTGAACAATCTGAAGCTAATAACTACTTACTGACCAAGCACTAAGCAGACTCATCTTCGCAAACCCACTTAAAGGGTGGCAAAAACACACAACCCAGATCATCTCCGCGCATGAACAAAACAAGGGAAACCAAAGCTGGGAACAGAGACTATATAATCAACCGGGTCACAGTTGAACGAGCAACAACGGAGGAAGTGATCACTCACATGTCCTTGACGGCGAAGGTGAGGCCGGCCAAGGGAAGCGAGGGAGACGGAGAGGGAAGCTTGAGGACGAACTTGCTCACGAAAGCGCCGTAGTCCGGAGCCATCGCCATTCTCTTCTCTGGGGTTGCTGTCGGTCGCTGCTTCTCGGTATGATCCACTTGAAAGAGATGATGGACAGATAGTAGCAGTAGTAGACTAGCAGTACAGAAAAAGAGGCTCCAGCCAGCCTCCAATCGCCACGGATAGCTCTTTGTTCCAATCAAATATTTAACAGAAAAAAAATGAGAAATTTACCATTGGAGGTGATTAGATAAAATCGTCCTTTACCGGATATTTGTTGATGTCCGACTAAATTGAACCCATTTTCATCGAAAAAAATAATGAAATTGTCCTCGAAAGATCAAATTTAATTAAATCGAAGCTTTGCGTAAATAAGAATCGTTTCTTAAATGGTCTTTCATCAGGATTAATTTCAGGAGTCACGTCCCATCATCTTGTAAAGGCAATCTTCTTTGATGCACATAAAGGGACAATTTAGTTCATGAGAATAACTCGAGCCCAAAGGTTCAGTTACCTATATCGCAAAAAAGAATAAAGAAATGTTATAGAGACAGACCCATGCTCTTCTTAACGACATCCATGGACCGTATTCTCTTAAATGAAGTATGTCATGAGTTTCGCTCTTTTTGAAGTATGATTAGCTTGATTCATTATGATACTTCTCACAAACAGAACCTCAAATTTTGTGTAGGATCCGGCGTGGTGAGTGCAAGTTTCTATGGAGGGCCTATATAGACGTGGGTGGTCCAGACCATCCAACTTTTCAGCTTAAATTCAGTACTGAACTAGTTGAACAAGGAAAACGAGAATCTATGGCGATAACATAGTCCTTGTTCCTTACCAATATGACGACTGCACAAGCACTTGGTTGCAAAATGCTCAAAGTGTCACAATGAGCACCCATAAATCCTTACAGAATATAAACAAGTGGGCTTGTATGCTATACAGAAATTTATTTTCTCAGCAACAGCCTTATGAAAATCACGGAGTCCGCACTACATTCAATGGCACGCAACATAAGTAAAAGGGGGAGCAATAGAGCAAGAACAAAGGATACCGGCCCATAAATATAGCCAAAAGCATCTCAGGAAAATGAAGAAACGTGCGTACGTTAAACTGATTTCTCTGCAATAGCAACTTGTTCCTTAAGAGACTCATACAGTGCTTCGACGAGGTCTAGCAGGAACCCATCAGCACCATGTTTAGCCAGCAAGGATATCGAGATAGGCAAATTATCGTGCAGCCCCATCGGTATGCTTACCTGTAAATGCGAATTGCAGACGGTTTATTGTAGATCGCATAGAGGCATAACATTAATCAAGATAGAAGCATCACAGCTTTAAGGTTGCATAGTGAGAAAGATTGCGCAACCTGACAGAATCCCGATACACCGGCAATGGAAAGCAAACTGAATGCCTTAGCGCGAAAAACTTCCAGGGCTGATGAATCAGTTTGTAGCTCTGGTGGAGGCCCAGGAACGGTGGGGATTGCAAGGATACCAAAATCCTGTACCAAAGGGAATATCACCTTCTTCTTTTACAATTCAAATTGCTTGACAGAGATAAATGACAACAGTATTCTTAGATAATTCCTCCAGTTACTTGGTCAATTATGCATTTCTTTTGGGAATTCATCAGATAAGATTAAACAAAGCAGGAAGCTAGGAACACTATTCTTTGATAATTCTTACTTGTTCAATTATGTATTTCTTTCGGGAAATTCATAACATAATGTTAAACATTGCAACAAGCCAAGAACAGTGACAGAAGACAACTATGAACTCAAGGCATGCGAGATGGACAGAGAGGGACATACCCCAAGTAGGGAAGTAAGAGCAGCATGGAATTCTTTCTTCACTGACAGACAGACATCAATATTTTCTTCAGTTGTCTGGAGGGCTTCCCTGACCCGATCTGATATTCCAGGGCCCAAGTCCGGATTGACAGCAGAGACCCATTCCTTATGGTTATTCTTGAACTCATACCTACATTTCAAGGTTAATCAGAATTCTTCTCTAGATAGCGGTTCTCTTCAATATCCCACACAATGCACAAATGAAATAAAACCCAACAAGGGTTCAGGTCCACATCACCACCTCTGAAGCAACCGCATTGCACTAGAAAAAGCTGTCAAAGATGGTATGTTGTCTACTTGATCCTCATTTATTTCACATAGGAAAGAACTCAAGGCTGGAACATTGGCTCTGACATAGTCCCCAAGGACGCTGTGCTTAACTATAGCAACTGCGCTGATTTGCATTAAGGAGACATCAGATACAAAAAGAAAAACGAGTTAGGGATTCGATATATATGAGTTGAGAGATTATCCAATTCCAGTCCAGCTCAATTCCATCTATAATGATAAATTCCTTCCACATTACCATGCTTCAGGACTGCATGTACAATTTGATCTAAATCATTTACTCGATGCTTTTATCTTCTTACCTCCGAATAATTTCTCCACTGATCTCACAAGAGCTTGAGTCAGTCGTTCAGTTGGAATGCTTAAAAGCTGGAAACAATCTCGTGGAATAATGATCTGACTAGGTCTAATGGGATCAGCATCAGGTAACTCGAGAAGAACACGGCCAACCTGCTTCAAGATGCTTGATTCCCTAGCAAACCACCCTAGATAAGACCGTAAAGAAGACAACAGTAAACATATATTCATTCACTAGCTTACGATGATAGGAAACAAGAAAGGAAGCCAACAAAATAAATTCACACTTGTCATGAACGAGATTAATGCGAATACTTCCATAGATGGGGAAAACTTGCATAAGTTCATGATGTAATGGAAAACACAGAACAAGGAAGAAGTGTGAAGCAGCCAGTAGGCTGCTGTGTTATCATTTCAGAATACTTGAAGATGGAATTACGGGGCAATACAAAACCTAGGGAGAAAGGAGACGAACAGTTTTTAAAAAATGCACACTATTCACCATATTGAAAATGCTAGAAATTTCTTTCAGTTGCCCAATATTTCACTTTTATAAAAATAAAAATAAAAACACCACTGAGTCAACTAATGTTAGAAAAAAAAAATAAGGAACCTAAGTCTTTCATTGAACTTTCCTTCTTTAAGAAGCTGAAACCCATGACTATTTTCATCAAAAGCTCGAGGCCATGAAAAAGCAGACTTCTCACCTACTGTATCAAAACTTTGTGCCATGGGAATGACTCCGACCGTGCTAACGACATTATGTGAAGGCCGAAATCCAAGAATTCCACAATATGATGCGGGTACTCTTACACTTCCTCCAGTGTCGGTTCCTGCGACCGTGCAGAACTTTTAGCATCATTCAGAGCATAAACTGAGAAAATTTCAGAGCAATTCCAGATGAAGTGCTTCACCTAGGGAGAAATCGACAAGCGTTGCTCCTACTGCAACAGCAGATCCACTGGAAGATCCTCCAGGCACACGATCCGGTGCACATGGGTTCCTTGGCGTGCCGTAGTGTTTATTCTCCCCATTTATGCTGCCACCACAAAAATAATCATTTTGGTGGATTATCTTCCTCTCTTTAAAGTAGAACTTCCTTTTGAAGCTATAAAGAAGGAAAAGACCACCTTGGAAATTCCATTCTCAAGCTAGAATTCCTCAAAGTCAACCTCAGTGAACTATGTATGCAATGCATTTATCCCGTCTTTTCCTTGGTAAGCATTCCTATCTTAAGCTAACCACTCCAAGTTCAAAACACAATATGGAAAAGAAAGTTCTCAAATCATGATGCTTTCTTCACTGGCAAGGCAAGAGACTTCCTTCCAAGATTCAGAACTCTAAATCTGATCTTGGGAAGACTATACGAATGTGACTGCATTGCAGGTTGTCTAAAGTAGTTAGCAAGGAGCTCGTCCGCAGTCTTTGGCAGCTCTAGCCATGCAACTAGTCTAGCTCATCCCCGATCTTCTCTGCATGCTAAGGCTAAGTACAAGTACATACCTACCTTACCTTGATTCACAGCATGCTCTCTACTCTTGACAGAAAGCCACAATTCTCAAGTTTGAGTTGTGTTTTTCAATTGCAGCGAGACTCTGAGTTTATAAGCCAATTTTGCAGACCCTAACCTGTATGCCATTTCATCCATGACAGTTTTTCCAAGACATGTAGCACCCGCTTTCAACACATCTAAAACAGCTGGAGCTGTGGAAGATGCAGGCACGTGAGTCCTCGCCCAATCAGGATTTCCGAACCCAGTCACTTGTCCTTCAACATCAAAACTGCACATAGAATTCCGTATGAGAAAAACTGACACAAACTTCAGTCTCAGAAAAAATCCAACTACACATAGCAGCAGGAATCAATGTATAATTTCATGCCTTTTCACAGAAGATGCATGTATATGAGTAGCTGTTACCATCAGGAGGAACTCATGGTAATAGTCAGATCTCACCCTTTCATTCAGTGATAAATGTAAATAACTAACACTAACTCACTAGACCAAGGATGAAAATCCGACATTTTTACAAAACAAAAAACATATCGATAAAAAATAACTTTCTGGCTACAAGTTGATCAAGCATATGCGGTAAGCTTTACCCGAGCTCTCTATGCTCGATCTTTTGTACTCCTTTCGAAAACTTTTAGAAAGAAAAAGCGGCGAACGTCACACACCTTATCATCAATTGACATTGTGTGTGACAACCAATGACAGCATAGTACTCAAAATGACCACCTCCCCCCCTTTCTTCACTGCTTTGAACATGGTTCCCACCACATTCGCTGATTAAATCAATGTAAAATTTCATGCCTTTTCATAAAAGATGCATGTACGGGTAGCGCTACCATTGGAAGGAACACACGGTAACAGTTGAATCTCTCCCTTTAATTCAGCGACGAATGTAAACTGCACACAGTCACTCACTAGACCAAGGACGAAAACCCGACATTCACAATTGATTATATGCAATCAATTATCGAGCCCATGTCAGCTTCTCACCCGGTACGCAAATATCCTCTCATCCGGCCTCCGCTTTACCATGTCAAAGCTCAATACTTCACTGAACAATCTGAGGCTAACAACTACTTTACTGGCCAAGCAGACTCATCTTCGCAAACCCACTTAAAGGGTGGCAAAAAAACACGACCCAGATCATCTCCGCGCTTGAACAAAACAAGGAAAACCAAACTAGCAACCAAAAGCTGGGAACAGAGACCATATACTCAACCGGGTCACAACTTGAACGGGCAACAAACGGAGGGAGGGAGTAAAACCACTCACATGTCCTTGACGGCGAAGGTGAGGCCGGCCAAGGGAAGCGAGGGGGACGGAGAAGGAGGCGGCTTGAGGACGAATTTGCTCATGAAAGCGCCGCAGTCCGGAGCCATCGCCATTCTCTTCTCGGGGGTTTGTTGTTGGTCGCTGCTATCTTGGTATGACTATGATCCACTTCTTGAAGAGATGATGATAGATGGCAGTAGTAGTAGTAGTAAGTACAGAGAAGAGGCTCCAGTCTCCAATTGCCACGATGGAGGTGCTCTTTTGATCCAATCAAATGTTTTAACAGAAAAGATGTGAAATTTGCTCTTGAAGATGATTAGATGTAATCCTTCTTTTGCTGTATATTTGTTGATCATAATTCACCTCAATTTTTTTATTAAGAAGATAAAATTGGCCTCAATCAATTCAATTCCAATTTAAAGTGATAGCTCCCAATTTATTTACTTTCCTCCTTTTTTGAATCTGGTTGTCATAATTAAGAATATCGCACGCTTTGTTCTTATTTGTCGTGGATATCCCATGTAATTAGATTTTACTTCCGAAAAAATAAGCTTTGTCGAAAACAGAAATTTCGATGAAATCTGATTAATTTCTATATTGTCGAGCGAATTTATGGATAAATTATTTAGTAAAATCCAGAAAAGTACAACATAGATAACTTTTTAACGCGATCACATATTTATAAATTTTTATATTTTCATTGTGCAACTATCAAACCATTTCTTATCGGTTGTCTTTCATATACATGCATATAATAGGACAGAAATAGAAAAACTAAAAAAAAAAGGAAAATAAATAAATTTTGAGCCACCAATTTGCAATTGAAATTGAGGGCAATATTGTCCTTTTAGTGAAAATGGAGGTGGGACTTAGCTGTGTGGATATTGGAAATAACGATGCCCCTTATTTTATCTCGAGAAACGAGATATCACAATGGCAGATTTGTAATTTTCTTGAGAATCAAGGGCAATTTAATTGTTGCGAGCGCTGTGGAGGACATTCGGACTATCTTTTTTGGAAGACAAATAATTTCTCTTTTTTATCTTTAGGAAGAGCCGAGGCGAGCAAATTTGAATAAAGTTTTCTGCTCTAATTTCAATGTTGTCGCATCGAGCCGACGAATTCGAGATGTAACTCAGATATCCCGAAGATAGGTTGGCCGAGCACCTATATATGTCCTGCTTCTACTCCGAGACACAATTTGAGATCATGACACATTGTCTCAATGTCCAATTGAATCAACAATTTAGTAGTGGTGTACTATCTAATTTCCAATGTCCATTAAAATTCAAAGATCGAGCTTGAACATATCTGTAGCCATTGACGCACTATGATAATGATTCACATCTAGGTGTGTCGAGTGGACCGAACGAGTGCCGCCCGACCCGCGGGAAAGAAAAATCCCCGCAAGCAGAGCGATTGCCTAAGGAAGAAATTAGTGCACCATGTACAAACCAAAGTACATTGTAATTACTTGCATTGCTTGGCTAATGTGTCGAGTCCATCACTTGTTATCTATTACCCTTAAATCATCTCCAGCGTTCTAACCAAATCAATGGCACGTCACTTTATTTCATAAATCCGGACATACAATGCACTTCGGTTTGTACATAGTGCACTAATTTCCTCCCTAGGCAATCACTCCGCTTGTGGGGCAATGCTAGTGAAGTTGAAGTTGGCGCAGCTGGTCCGGCGCAGCAACAGCGACGAGCTCAACCCCAGCCTCGATCCCGCCACGTCGAACTGCAGGAGATTATCCTCGAGCTGATGCGCCCCCACCATGATCGGGTCCTGGGGCCGCGACCCCCCGTCGACGAACGCCAGGCAGAGCGTCTCCGGGCGCGCCTCGACCATGGAGTTCGCGCCGAAGATCGTCCAGACGGTGTTCTTGTCTTGCAGGATGAACTCGATCGTCGGGACTCCGGGACCGGCCCGGGTGCTCGACAGACTCGATCGCTCGTAACATGCCGGGAACGGCGGGATCGGTTCCACCTGCGGTATCTGCGAGAGCTCGCTGGTGAAGGATCGAGTCAGGGCGACGAAAATTGAGTGCTCCAAAATAGTGTATGGCGTTGTGGTGCTGATCCTAGTTCGTCCATCGCCTGCTCAAACATGCACTCGTTAGAATGAAACATCTCGCATGTACTTGTAATTGTGAAAGGTATGGCTGATAAGAAAACAAATGCTAGAGCAAAAAATCTTCATAATTCGAGTTTCAATTTTGGTATTGAGAACAAAATTTCTCGTAAACGATAATATCAGGGGATTGGTTTAGTAGTTAAGGATCTAACTTGTGTGTGTGAATTAGGCGTGTCCTGACACATTTTTTGTTGTCACAGCATCACGTGCAAATAATTTCGTGTTTGGGCTGCTCACACTGGTTTAGACTCGTATCTATGGACTCGAGATTTATCTATCTAAAGTCGGCTTTCTAGTTGTAAAAAAAAAAACTCTCTTGAAATTTCAAGTTTTACTTAGCATTATTACCTAGCAGAGATGTGTTCAATGGGACAGGTTTCTGATTTATCCTGATTGATCTCACTCCGACGAAGTACTTCCCTCTCCGTCGGAACGTCAGCGGCGTGTAGAGCAATCCGCTCGAGACATCGACCCCGGGAAGCATGTTGTACGGCCCGTCGCCGAAGAAGATGGCCCCTCTGTTGTCGTTAGAACTCACGCTGGTGAGGCACAAGGCGAACATCGGCGGAAAGCCACAGTGCGAGGCGAGCTGGCTCTGGAGAGAGATGGGCGTGTGGCCGAGCCCGGCGACGCCGTGGACATTGGCCGGCAACCCGGATCGGAGCAAGGAAGAGGGCGCGCAAGCGAAGTAGAACTTGCAGAATCGGATCGGCCGACCGGGGTTCGAGCCGCGAGTTGTTAGGATCGAGAACATGTCTATCGAAAGCTCCGCAACGGCCGCACGTTTTGTCACGGGGTTCACCTGTTGAAACGTATACCGATAAGTGGACAAGGAATAGAAGTGCGATGAACGTGACTTTGTGCTTTTCGTAATTTTGGTGAAAAGAATGCTGTTCTATACCGCCATGATCCCGCACGAGTTATTGTGGCAACCGGCCCGGTCGGGGGCGGCGACGGAGCCGGGGCAAGTGTGGGAAAACCGGGTCTTGCCGGCAGGGGAGCAGAAGTAATCGCCGAACGGAGGAGCGTAGAAGGTGGACGACAGGTAGCGCCGCTCGTCGCAATGCTCCCACACCATCTCGCCGTTGAGGTCGACGAGGTGAGGGATGGGCTTTTGCGGGGTTCTCCTCAGTATGTTGGCCACATGGAGGCCCGTCGCGCCGTCTTTGCGAACCGCCAGCACGTGTCTGTTGATCACGGGCGGAGGCGGAGACAGCGGAGGTGGAGGCGCCGTCTGGGAGCGCGAAGTGGGAGCGAGGAGGGAGAGAGCGGAGGAGATGAGAAGAAGAAGAAGATGGAGGAGACGGAGGGGAGTGTGTGCAGCGGCCATGAGAGAGGCTTCAAATTGATGAATGAAGAAAGAAGAGGCACGAGCAAATACTTAAATTAACCAGTGAAACTAAAGCCTTTTTGATTTCTAGCAACGACGTTGGCTTCGGTTACGAAGGGATTCATCAGAAGAACGTGGGTTCTGAGGTTGGTGCCAAGATTTTCAGGAATGCGTTACACAGGCGATGGATGCTTGTGTTTGACCGTGTCGTAGAAGGAAGGTTTTGGGGGATGAACGGAAGCTCACGGCTTCCATGGTTAAGAGTTTAGCTGAACTTTAATAGAAGAACATGAAACATGTGACGCCCTGGATTAACTTGCTAAGGTATTGTCCTCTTTAGCCCGTTCAATATCGAGCCTCACGATTTTGTTGGGCACTTTCTCGAGAGGTCACCCGTTCAAGGAGTGCTTCCACTTGAGCATACTTGACTTTGGAGTTTCAAAGCTAAGCGTTGCTATTTTGTGAAAAGGCGCATCCGTGAGTTAATTCCAGTTTTGGAGTTTCAAAGCTAAGCGTTGCTATTTTGTCAAAAGGCGCATCCGTGAGTTAATTCCAGTTTTCACAAATAGACATATAAGAATCGTTCTTCCCTGTTCCGTTTCCAGTTTAGTTCATTCCTGCCTCTTTCGCTATCCTAGAAGCTTGTCAAGAGCCGCTCTCTGGCCTCGGCAACCACTGCCCGCTCTTATCGGACCAAGTCGTTATAATATACCAATCAACTTTCTGGAGCTTTATAGGTTTAATTTTGCCGGCTCTTGTCGTGACGGCTTATCGATGCATGTTTTCGAATGCCGAAGAGAGATGCAGAGCCAGTAGATTCCACCTGCAAGTGCCATGAACAAGTTGTATTTGAGATGTTTTTGTTGTTCCGAGTCATCATAAATATGGTAGTCAAGATTACTTACGCTTCAGTTCCAGATTCAAGTCATGGCCACAAAGTTGTTCTTGCTAACATTTTAATGAACAAGGTCGGTGAGTTTTACCAGGGCTGCGCAGCAATAGTCCTACAAGCTCGTTCCGAGTCTAAACATGATATTGTTTGATCCGCTAGAATTCTTAATGAAGTGAAGAACGATATCTGATGAACGATTATCATACAACCACAGAACCCAGGCTTAGTTCTCTCCTGTCCCCAGCAGTCCAAGAAATCGAGCCGCTCAAATTGTTCGAGTGCAAGCGCACACTCTCTGGACGCGGGATCCGGAACGATGACTGGATCTTAGGAAATCTCAAACATTCTGGACAATGTAGTCCCTTTTCAGTTCTTACCGCATACGAATTATACATGACTCTGCATTTGGGTGTTGAAATAAGACCAAAGCTTCAAGTTATGTTTTATGGCCCTCTTCTGAACTTTTCAACCACTGTACCTGTATGCAATGAACTAAACTCCTTCCACACCTAGGTGCGATACCAAGATGATCAACCGACGCAACCACCGCCAAGCGCAATTACATAATGGAAGCAGTAAGAGAGGATTCAAAAGAGTAACGACACCGGGATTTACGTGGATGCACTAATCAACTTCAATCAAGAGTACAAGAGATCAATCCACAGCAAGAACTACAAAAGACACAAGCTCCCCCGAAGCCAAAACCACAAACTTTAAATTAGAAAGCATGTGGTACCTCTCTCTAAGAGCAAACGCGAACAACTCACTTGGAACTTTGATGCAATCACGTAAAGAATAATGAATACAATAAACTCTTGTCTCTAATTCGAATCCAAAACGAGTTAAGGATGTAGGTGTAGAAGTGGAAGATCCTAACTCCCTTTTCTCTCTTTTACTGTGTTGTGCGTGTTATGTGTATCTCCTAGTGAGATTAACACTCTGCAGAGTCATAGGCACAACTAATGGGTCTAGCCCATTTTAGCAAATGCAATATTCCCAAAAGGGTGGTATTAGGGCCAACGGGCCCAAAATATGTATCACTATCCTAGACCCAACAATGAATCTTGTTGCTCTTCGCTGTTGCCGAGTGCAATTTGTCGTCACGGCTTGGTCCAAGAGGAAACCATAGGTGAAAGGCGTGTTTGCTCTAGTTGGCAATGATTGGAGATTCGTGTTGAAATTTGTCGATGTAGAAGAATATTGTACTTCAATTGAGGAGGAGCTAGCCTAATATGATAGAGACTCGCAAGCGAGGGAGAGAATGTCGAGTGCACATTTGATTGGTGTCATGAAATATGAAGTCCCGCATCAGATTTCGTTCAGAGCTAAAAGAAACAATTGATAATGCTTAGTTTGTCGCGATTGAACTTCAAACCAGCACCTTCTCGACTTTGGATCCATTCACGTTCTTTGTTTTTTAGTTGAAACTCGAGAGGTGGTGCCTCCACATAGACTTTAGGATCCTATCTAAAGATCTCTCCTAGAGAAAGCGGTATCGATCACTGGGCACAGGATGGTTTGGCCTAATCAAGTCTCCGAGCTTCATGACAAGTTTTAATAGTACTAACTTTTGTTAGCAAATTTTTTATTTTTACCTTTGTATTTTCTAACAATAAAGCATCTAACAACTCTTCTAAATGGTAAGCCGATGGAAGCCAACGAGGCTTCTAAATCCCCAGTCGTGTTTGTAATTTGTATCGATTTATATCAACATAAAAAAGCCCGTGACTGTATATTAAACTTGTTGAATCCGGTCATGGTTAAAATTCCCATCCACATTTTTAGTAGGATTTCAAGTAAGAGCATAAAAAACATGGGATAAAGTCACCAAAAACCACCCAAACTATGCCCACAACGACACATTAACCCTTAATTTTTTTGTGATATAAAAAATTCCCAAACTATTGCGCACTGTTTTGAGAAAACCTTACCAAAAAAAACTATTGCGCACTGTGACACATTTGTCATAAACTTTTTCTTGTGACATAAGAAATTCCAAGCATGTATCAATGTGACACATTTACCCTCCGTCAAGGATCGTCGGATGATTTTTCGATCAAAATAATGTTTATTTCACCTAAGCCACGTGGATGCTATGTTAACAAAGTTTGCTTTCTAACGTCCATGTAAGCAAATTTTTAGTGGAGCTCATTGCTAGAACCTTGATAGATGGTAAATGTATCACACGGGTATAAATTTGGGATTTTTGGTTTCTTGGAAAAAAGTTGAGGGCAAATGTGTCATAGTTGGTATAATTTGGGTTTTTTCGTGGCTTTTTTCCCTAAAAGCATTCACCTTAATCAACACAATAAATCTGGTTTCTTTGTACTGTTATTTTTACCTCCATTCTCTTTCTCCCAGTTGCGCTGCTGCGGCTCTTCAAGGGATGCGAAACCCTGTGGAATGCCCATGTATTCAACCTAAGTTTGCAGCTCTCCACTCGTCCAAAAGAAAAGTGGTTGTGGTTTGTGCGGAATTATCTAAATCAAGGGGGGGCCATTAGATGCGTAGTCATTCGACCGACAGCCAGAAAGGAGGAATTGTTGGTGGACACTTCAACAACATTGTTCGTTCCAAAAAAGGTAGAAACTTAGATTTTTCAATAAAGGGCACTTCCAATTATCGAGCTACAGCACAAAGCCTAACTCGAGCCCCCACCATTAGCACTTCGATTCCCATCAATAACGCCACGTTTCTTTTGCCTTATGTGTTGCGGAAAAAAGCGAGGGCCGTCCATCGACTCAGCTTTTTCATGCTTTTTTCCAATGTAGGTGCTGCACAGTGCTAGGTCCATCGAAACCGGCATCTACCCGAAAGCGTTCGGCATATCACCGGAACACGTCAAATCACAAAGGATTTTCTCCATCGATATATAATGAACATTTGACTTTTCGGACCATAGATGTGGATTTTCACTCGCGTCTTACTTAGCGGGCGATATTTTGACGGAGTATTTCCCCAACTTCTTGATGAACTTGTGACGGAGAAAGTACGTGGGTTTGTTTGTCATTGCATCATAATACAATACAATAATATGCATGTTCCGATGTCTGTCAAAATCACAGCATAGCGCTGAGGTGGTTCTTCGAAACCATGCTTTGTCGCGTTGTGTTGCGACCTTTTCCACAGCTGTCTAACACCTTCCAAGAACTAAAAGCGACCCTTCCAAGATCTTTATAGCCAAGATGGCTGTCCCACCACACTCCCTAACTTAATCCCCACCAAAACAAAAGTTAATCCCCACTAAAAATGCTTTGCGGATCGTCCAAATCGTTCGAGAAATGATGGAGAAGAAGGAAAAATCAAAACCCTTGAACGTGTACGCGCAACGCCGGAATCATCCTACGGCATACAGTTGATGATATCCGAAGGATCGACACGTAATCTCAAACAAGAAAAAGCCGCGAAACGCAAAAGCCGAAATTAGAGGAATCGATATGAATTCTTCATTAGTGAGACATGAGGTATGGTACTTTTCAAAGACCTTGCACTCTCATTGCAACCAAAAGGCTCCTTCATAAGAAGTCACAAAACCTACCCAACAAAATTGAAATCCTAAAGTGGCCACGACCCCGCTACGCTGCCACACCAGCATCAGCCAGGAATTTACATGACGCTGCAGCTGTCGGTGTTCTCGTCGCTGAACATGTGGACGTAAGGATCCGAAGCCGGGGGCGGCATCGGCGGGACGTAGCCCACCGGCGCTTGCGGCCGGGCATACATCATCGGCTGGTACATATTGTTCCCGTAGGCCTGGTGGGCCTGGGCCTGTGCCTGGGCCTGGTGATTCATCATCATGTTCATGTACTGTTGTTGGCTGTACGGGTTCCCCGGGCCCATTCCTTGATTGTACCCGCCATTCATTGGTAGCCCTTGCACTGCTGGGATGTGGCCCATCTGGCCCATTGGGTAGTTGCCCATCTGGCCCATCGGGCCCATTGGGCCCACAAAGCCACCACCACCTGTGGCCTTGCCATGATTAGCACCCTGGAGGAATCCAGGTTGCATCATATTCATTGCAAAGGCCCCCCCATCACCCTTGCCTCCGCCTCCTCCTCCTCCTCCTCCTCCCCCTTTTTTACCGCCACCACCATTAAAGTTTCCACCGCCACCTCCATTGCCGCCGCCGCCGTTGCCGCCCTTGTTCTTCTTACCGGACCCTTCATTGAATCCATTCTTGCCGCCGTTTCCTAGCAAGTCACCACCATTTTTGCCTCCATTTTTACCACCACCACCTCCTTTGTGCTTGCCACCGTTTTTACCATCGTTTTTCTTTCCCTCTTTACCCTTTTTCCCATTACCACCACCGCCTTTCCCACCACCAAACACCTTCATCAACCCTTGTATGTCGAAGACGCTGCCTTTCTTGGCGGTTTTGCCGTCGCCTTTCCCCCCTTTGCCGCCGTCGCCTTTTTTATCGCCTTTCCCTTTAGCCCCTTGATGTCCATGCGCACCACCGCCCCCGCCCATCTTGGCTTGCTTAGAAGGAACATGGCCATGGCCATGGCCAAACTCCTCCTCAAACTCATCATCATACAATTCATCATCAAACTCGCTATCATACTCGTCATCAAATTCATCGTCAAAATCATCCTCACTTGCCCCAAAATCATCCTCAGGCAAGTTGAACTTGACAGTCTTCTGTTCCTTAGAAGGCAGCTTCAGATCTTTAGCACCGCCCTTCATGTACTGCTGCTGCAGCTGAGCCAGCTGCTGCTGGATTTGCTGGTCTTTTCCGTTATTACCCTTTTGAGACTTGTTGTCCTTGCCTCCTTTGACATTCTCCATTTGCAAGTTTTTGAATTGGTGGTTGAGATTGAGAAGGTTTTGGTTGAATTGGTGTTGGTTGTTGTTGTTGTTGTTGTTCTTGGGTCCTCCTGATCCTCCCCAGAGCTCTGCATGTTTCCCCGACTTCTCAAGCTTCTTGATGAGCGTGTATGGATCTATCAGACCAGTCACTGTTACCTTGCTTTGCTCTGCATCTATACTAGCAGAGTACACCCCTAAAAACCAAACAGAAAAAAATAACCATAAATTCCTCAGAAGAAGTCAACAGACTTTCACATCAACCAAAAATATCCAGCTAAACGCATTATAAAAAAAAAATCACCGAATCAACGGAGAAAAAGAACCAAAAAGCAACAGGGAGCAGGTACCCTCAGTCTTCTTTAGCAGCTTTCTGACCTTGTCCTTACATCCATCACAGTGTATGTTCACCCTGAGAACCCACGTCTGCGAGCAAACCCCCCACAAAAAACAGAGACGAAGTTAGAACATTCAGACCAATCTCAAGAAACACAAGGAGAGCAAGATCAAACACTTCCGCTGTCATAACGAAGAACCCAGAACACAGAGCAAAAGACCCGACAAGACACGAACTTCGTTCCATGCTAACCAACTCAGAAAATTAACAAAAGGGGTCGACCAGTCACCTGCATCTTCATGACATCCTGTTTACTCATCCTTTCGTCCTGATACAGTGAGGAGGAAGTAGAGACTGTGTGTGTGCGTGAGTGAAGCGGCGAGCTCAGAGGAACGAGAGGCTTGAGGGTTTTAAGAAAGAGCAAGGCGGTTGGTGCAGAGCATTAACCTTTTGCTCTTTTCTTCCCGTCTCTCTCTCTCTCTCTGTTTCAGACTTCTCTGCAACTCTGTACATTTATGTGGCGTTTGAGAGAGGGAAAGAGAGAGAGGGGAGAGAGAGGCGGTGGATTCAGCTGTAAGGAGCACAAATAAACAACCTCACGAAACTGAAGTTGGCTTGGGTTGGACGGAGGCAAAGTTGAAAGCAATGACTATAATAATAACTAGTAATAACAATATGTTAAAGCCATCATGTCGAGGTGCATCGCACAGCCCAACACTCGAAAAAAGCGAAACGCGCTCGACCTGATAAGATGGCGAGAGGAGAGAGAGAGAGAGAGAGATCTCAAGGGATGAGGACGGGTCGGGTCACATGAATTCAAAGCTGGTGTGGCCCAATTATAAATGGGTCGGTCTGGGATGGTATGGTCCATGCAATTATTACATTGATCTGCATGATGATGAATCTCGTGTGGCTTCTCACTATAATCTCGTGGGCGACGGACTCCACGAATGCATTCATTATTTTAATGTGTCGATATCCGCACGCCTTGTATTTTCAATTCTCCTTGTATTTTTATCTTTTCTGAAATGCAAGAATATACTCTAGAAGTTTTACGTCTCAAAGATTTTGAAATTTTGACGGGACTTGAGATGAAGCCATTTAAAGGACATGCTTAGGTTCGAAGGTCGGAGCGGTATGGTCCGTGCAATTATTATGATGGCCTAAATGATGATGAATCTCGTGTGGTTTTCACTGTAAACCTCGTGGGGACATACGAAGCAATGGAGGCTCAAAGACCAAACAGAAATTGATAAAAGACATGCTGCCATAATTGCTGTTCCAACAATTCAGGCCCACGCTGTGGGGTTGCCCAGTTTCAATTTAAGCTTTTCTCAGAGTTACTTTTTCGAAAGGCAATCAAATATTAAATATTTTCCTTAAAATAATTATTTGTATATTTTACAAAAATAAATGAACCAAAAATATTTTCAACGAAAAATTTTTAGACATAAGTTGTTATTGATAAATAAAACATATTTTATTGACTAGTTATTTTGAGCGATGTAAATGATCATTTTTAGGAAAATATATTTTAAGTCGTTTTTTTTTCGCGAAACAAACGGACCCTTAATATCTTCCTTCGTTATACCATGATGTTAGTAAATGCACCTGATCAATGGAAGGACTTTTTAGTTAAGCTAGCAAAAGAAGCATAAATTTTGAGCTATCGTCGAGTTCATGATTACCTCTACTTATGAGCTAATTTTTCTACGGATCACGCATGACACAAGATTCATTATATGTTTTTTTTCGCTATTATCCAATGTAATAGCATTTTGAAATGTAATTCGATGTATATATAGATCGAGCTTGTAATACTAAATTTAGAGGTTTGGATAATCAAGGGATAATTACACAAATAGTCCATGAACTTTGACAAAATGTGTAATATTATTCCCAAATTTTTAATTTGTTCAATGTGATTTTTCAACTTTAGCACAATATGCAGTATCGTCCCTGAATTTTAAATTCATTCAATGTGGTCCCTGAATTGTGCATATTCAATCTAGTCCTTTAAATATATAAAAGTATGTAATGTTATGCTTCTATTAATTCAAGTTTAGATATAACATTGAACATTTTCATATAATTCATGAACTAAATCGAACATGTATAAAAAAGAAGGATCGCGTTGAATAAACATATTACCCATTGAACAAATCAAAAGTTAAAGAATGACATTGCATATAGAATCAAAGTTTGAAGACTATTTGTGTCATTGTCCCGATAATCATAGATCACGGGTCTCATTGAATCAGTGTATAGCTCCAAATTAAGGAAATAAACCTTGACAAACTTATCGTCGTGATTGATTTAGTCTTTTTAATAATGACAATGGACTGGATTTAGGGTTTGCTATTATTTAATCTGGCGCTCTGTCACAACTGCAAGTCAAACACAGAGTGGATGAATCATGCATTGATGACATCAGTAAGGTTCAAGATCAGATTTTTTATGAACGTGATTAAAAAATATCCACTTCCCTTGTTGGGGCCAATACAATTCTACTGTTAAGAAGAACCGGTGCACCACCCAGTTTTATTTAGGAATTCTCTCTTCATGTGGTGGTGCAGTTGTCAGTTTGACCGCATCGTGTGGGAGAACATAGGAACATGCGATGTGGAAGAACAGGTTGACTGTTTTTGCCTTTGCTTCTTTCAAGAAAATGTCTTAAAAAAAACAGGGGGGTTCCTCAACCGTGGAAAGGCACCCTACTTTCGATGCCCTTATATCATGAACCAGTTCATTTCGTCACAATGTAATACAAGTGGAGATGGGGTGCGATTGGAAACACTTTGGAGAAAACCTACGGAAAATTACAAAGGATTATTGGTGGAAGGGTTTTTCCAAAGTACAAGAGGTGTTAGGTAAAGTGTAATTTAAAAATACATTGGAAACCAAGTCAGAGAACTTTTACTAATTTGTCTTTAAAAAATTTTTGCAAACCTTTGCTAGCGGAACTCAGACCATCGGTCAGCCTCGACTGAGGTTGCCGGAGCAACCCGTCGTTGGGGTCGCTTAGGTCACGCATCCTGGGTCAAGCAACCCCAGGCGACGCCTCTTGGGGTCTAGCAACCTTAGGCAAGGCTGGTGGTAGCTCGTCGGTGGTAGCTCGTCGGTGGCTGAGGCCTTCGCCGGCAACATTAAGGTTTTCGAGATCATTTCCATAATTTTGAAAGTATAGCGGGGACAAAATTAGAAGAAAAAAGGTCTATTTGTATTATGAAAATGTTTAAATCTCAAGCACCTCCAACCTGCCTTAGACTAAAGGCCTTTAAAAACTTTTGGAAATATAATTGCATTTTCCCAAAATATTTACCAAATGGTATTTTCATTTGTTTAAAGGACTTTAGAGCCCAAAGCCCATTGAGAATGCAATTCCCAAATGCAACCATCCTCTATTCCGCGTCGAATTAATTCTCCATCATTTAATGAATGCAAATGAAACATGCACCTAGAAACATCTGCGGGGGCATCGCAAGAGATAAAAGATTTGTTGTGATAAAAAATTGCATAGAATTTGTATCATTGTTTCGCCGGATTCAACTCCGCAACAAAATACTTTTCACTGATTGTCATTCTTAGGTTCTTATTAGAGAAGACATATTCTATGGCGATTCCAAATAAGAAATATCACAAGTAGACAAGACGATCGATAACTTCATTTCAAATGGAATCGAACATACACAAATAGTGCCAGAATTTAATTGACGACAAAATCTGAGTAAGTAAAGATGCAACGTTGAATTTTAATTGACGACGAGACACCCAGAAACTATAGCAAAAATACATGCTGAAATTTAATCGACAACATAAATTTGGAAGCTACAGCTAAGAAACATCCTGAAATTTAATCGACGATGCAAATTTGGAAACTATAACTACAGTGTAGGAATTGAAAGATACACATTTGTTTGTTGCTAGGCAAGGTAACTAGTGGATGAACACCAATATTTGTAGAGCTCACAAATGTAATAGCCTAATAGACGTTTTTTTTGCAACTTTAGCCATGCTTCCACATCTCCGAGAATCTTGTATTTATGCTTTCATGTCGCCATGATCTCATCTCCAAGTGATTGTTCCCTAAACCTTGCGCCACAATCTCTTGCACTTTGCTGCTAAGTTAACTCCATTCCTTCTCCTACGATTCACTGGACTTCATTGTTTGACATATCGGTGATTTTAAATATCATAACCGAGTTTTGGAGCTTTCCAAATATTTGCTCTTTGCTTGGTGTCTCAATCGTTAATCTTTCTATCATCTTTTAATCGATATCCCTATCGACCAACTCTATCATGATAAACGGGAACCATGCACTATCTTGTATCGACAGCACAACTCATAATCATCGATTCAATATCGATAACAATTTGTGGTTGTGGCTAATAACCCACGTTTTGATATGGATAACTCTTAGACATGTGCTTGTTTATGTCAACGATTTGGTTAATTTTTTTTTGTAAACAACCATTGATGTTTATTTACGGTGAAACGGAAACGATTTGTTCGTACAAAAGTTAGGTCGATTGCTTTTCCAATGACACAAGTAGATCCAGAAGAATCAGAGCTAGTCAGAGATCATGCATATTTTTTAAGGGGGCAAAGCAGGGCCTGATGGAAAAGTCCCATTCCCATTAACAATTTTTCTAATGCTTCTGTCAAATAATACATGGCAAGGCTACAACAATTAGCATAAGTGGATCTGTTGAGAGCCGCAAGAAAGACCAATAAATGCAAAAGTTGTCCTTTGGGTGCCATTTTCATGCCTTCAACATAAGTGGGTGTTTAAGTTCCCATGCCGGACATTGTGCCAGTGCCAAAATACAAACCTCCAAAAGCAGTTAGAATAATCTCTCTCTCTGTCTCTCCCCCTTTTCTTTTTGGAGCCAAATTGTCCCTTTTTTTGTGCTCTCCCTTCTAAAAAGTCTCACCTTGAGGGCAAATGTGTCCTATATCCTCTTCATCTTTTCTCTTTGGCCCCTTAAAAAATGTCCCTTTGTCTAGAAAAGCTATTTGGGATGGTGACAAAAGAGGTGATCCCTACAGTAAGGCACAGATCCAGAAGATGTGAACTTGGTGCATGCCTTTATAGGGTCATGGGATAGGTCACCCAATTGTCTTTTTTGCAACCCCCCAATCTTTGACTAAAACTTTCGTTTAATTTATAGAATTTGCATTCCATATATCATCACAAAAGATTGCCCTCGCAGGCAATGTGAAGATTTGATTTTGGGCAATCATAATGTAAATCATTCGATAAGATAGAAATTTCCTGACAGCATCATGGGTGAAAATCAAGTTCTTTTCAAGTTGTTTGCATCGTGAGGAAAAATGCGTGTATGTGGATCTAATGTTGATATTATAAATGATTGTGAAACAGCTGTGGAGCACGGGCAGGGAGTTGCAGAGCAGTCCAAACGATGGTTGTCTTCTTCCTGCAACCCAACACCCAAACTTTTAGAAACAATGTCGGTAGAAGAATATTTCTGAAATTGGGGACAATCTAGTGGGGGTGAGTTCACCATAATGTCAAGTTGCCAAGTCTACAAGTTATGCTCATCTGGTGGATGTCAACTTCTATAAGTTGTGAACAAAAACAAAAAACTTCTATAAGTTTTCTGACAAAAAAAAGTATTCTGTAAGTACAATAGATATAATAAAATCATTTGAGAATCCATTTGGGTCTTAATCGGTTAGCTCAAAAAAGGGAAAATATACAAGTTGTGATAGAGTTCAAGAGGAAAAAAGTGCCATAAGTATTATGGTTTTAATA